GACCAACTCCAAAATGGTCAGCAAAAGTATAGTATCATAAAAGTATGAATAAAGCCAGAGGTATATCCATGCACTGTCGCAGGAGCACCACAGGTTACAGGACTGGGGAGTAAGGAGATCCACCAGTTCCCCTCACAGCCATATTCAGCTCCCCCCCGTGGGTTGGTATCCTCAGGTCTTGGGTAGGTGCTCAAGCCACTTGATGGCCTCCTCCAGAGCAGTGAAGAATCGGGATGTTTCGCCATCCTGCACCCTCAGGCGCGCTGGGAAAAGCATGCTGTACCTGATCCCCCTTACTCGGAGGGCAGCCTTGGCAGCATCGAAGGATTTACGTTGGCGCTGGGTCTCCACAGAATAGTCTGTGAATATGAGAAGCTTGTTATTTTCGTACTTAACCTCTCCCAATAACCTGGCTTTGCGGAGGATGGCATCCCGGTCTCGGAAGTTTAGCAGTTTGAAAATAAAGGTACGCGGGGGGGCCCCCGGGAAGGAAGGCATGCGGTGGGCCCGCTCAACCGCGAAGAAGGCTGTGAGCTGGGCCTTAGGGAGCAGGGCCCGGATCAGGGATTCGGCAAAGGTGAGTGGGTCAGTGCCCTCCAGCCCCTCCGGCAGCCCAAGGATGCGCAGGTTACTCCTCCGGTTCCGGTTTTCGGCATCCACCGCTCTGGACTCCAGGGCCTTGACCTTGGTTTGTAAAGTGCGTAGAGTCGCCGTATGGGCCCCGACCACATCCTCCACTCTACCTTCCACCGCGGTCATCCCATCCCGGAATCTGTCCAGGTCCCGTCGGAGGAGTCCCACGTCCGACTGGAGATGGTCAATCTTGGCCATGAGCACAGTTTGGCAACCAGATATCGTGGCCATCACCGCTGTAAACTGTGCTGGGCCTGACAGGGTCTCCTCCACTTCTTCCGGCTGGGCCGCCATCTTGCCCCGAGGTTGTTTCTTGCTGCGGGCCGGCCAGGGCGAGGGGTTACTGGGGCGGCCTGTAGATGATTTACGGCGCCCCCGAGACATACCCTCCGGTACAGGAGAGTGGTAGATCCTGGTCCCGTAGCGAAACGAGCGCTCCACAGGGCTATAACTAGCAGGATGATAGATAGGGTGGCGGAGCACAGCTATTACACGTGTGCTCCGGTCGCCATCTTGGACACGACCCCTTCCCCAGTTTTCTAAGGGTCACGGGAGGACACAAACCAGCGTTCTCCTGTGACCCAAAGCTCAGTATACCGCGAGCTACAGCCGCAGCCGGGACGGATCCCGACAATACTGTGTGGATACACCCAGCTACGGGATTAATAGCTGGCTCTGCCTATCGAGGGGGAGAGCCAGCTGTGCCCTCCCCCGTCCGTTTCGCCAGTCAGCGCTGGAGGATCGGACAGGGGAGGGGGGATACTTAACCTCTCCCAATAACCTGGCTTTGCGGAGGATGGCATCCCGGTCTCGGAAGTTTAGCAGTTTGAAAATAAAGGTACGCGGGGGGGCCCCCGGGAAGGAAGGCATGCGGTGGGCCCGCTCAACCGCGAAGAAGGCTGTGAGCTGGGCCTTAGGGAGCAGGGCCCGGATCAGGGATTCGGCAAAGGTGAGTGGGTCAGTGCCCTCCAGCCCCTCCGGCAGCCCAAGGATGCGCAGGTTACTCCTCCGGTTCCGGTTTTCGGCATCCACCGCTCTGGACTCCAGGGCCTTGACCTTGGTTTGTAAAGTGCGTAGAGTCGCCGTATGGGCCCCGACCACATCCTCCACTCTACCTTCCACCGCGGTCATCCCATCCCGGAATCTGTCCAGGTCCCGTCGGAGGAGTCCCACGTCCGACTGGAGATGGTCAATCTTGGCCATGAGCACAGTTTGGCAACCAGATATCGTGGCCATCACCGCTGTAAACTGTGCTGGGCCTGACAGGGTCTCCTCCACTTCTTCCGGCTGGGCCGCCATCTTGCCCCGAGGTTGTTTCTTGCTGCGGGCCGGCCAGGGCGAGGGGTTACTGGGGCGGCCTGTAGATGATTTACGGCGCCCCCGAGACATACCCTCCGGTACAGGAGAGTGGTAGATCCTGGTCCCGTAGCGAAACGAGCGCTCCACAGGGCTATAACTAGCAGGATGATAGATAGGGTGGCGGAGCACAGCTATTACACGTGTGCTCCGGTCGCCATCTTGGACACGACCCCTTCCCCAGTTTTCTAAGGGTCACGGGAGGACACAAACCAGCGTTCTCCTGTGACCCAAAGCTCAGTATACCGCGAGCTACAGCCGCAGCCGGGACGGATCCCGACAATACTGTGTGGATACACCCAGCTACGGGATTAATAGCTGGCTCTGCCTATCGAGGGGGAGAGCCAGCTGTGCCCTCCCCCGTCCGTTTCGCCAGTCAGCGCTGGAGGATCGGACAGGGGAGGGGGGTGGAATTCCTGCAGGGTGCCGTGAGCGACAGTCACGGGTCTCTGCAGGGATAGATCAAGAAGTGTGCGAGCGACGGTATGCGTTCGCTTACTTCCCGATTTACTGAGCCGACCTGTGACAGTTTCATTGTCACAGGTCAGCTCAGATTATGAGGCGAGTGAAAATCACTCGCCTCATAATTCTCCTTTAAAGTTTAAATAATGTGAAACCATTGAAAAACTATTTTCATAATATGTCAAAGCCACAGCTGTGATTGTTAAATTAAACATATACACACCCACACGGATATAACAACAGGTGATAAGGAGTCGTATTCAATTCCTGGCTTTGTGACACTGAGTAAACTAGACTTAAGATTGATTCTGGAAAAAAAAAACCAAAAAATATAATTAGAGTGAAAGACCGTACTGACTGCATAATTAACTTGGTCATACACTGCTCCAATTTCGAGGTGGCCCGGTTGCCAAACAGTGCCTACATTCACCTGTTTAGATGGAGGAACCAATGGCTCTCTCTTGTTTAGCACTGTAAGGGAAATGCATAGCATGTATGGCTAGCATTATCCTAGGGTCCCATTCACACGGGTACACATGAAGTGTTCTATATATAATATTTTTTTAAATAATAAATTCACACTTTTGTTTATCATTGTGCATCAGTGGCTCGCCTTTGCAATGCTCCGACTCCTGCAGATACTACCTTGGTATGGACATTTAGTAACATGAACTGGAAGAAGAAGAATGAATGGACTACAAGTGCCGGGACACTTGTATTCCATTACAACCTAGAAATCCCTCTGCTGCGGTGGCTGATGGGACTTGTAGTTTTTCCATTCACAGCTCCTTGCAGAATTATCCTGAACACATACAGTGGGGCTACGCAGGACCTATGGTGGGTTGTGTGGGGTCTGTGGTGGGCTTTGCGGGTCTATGGTTGGCTCTGCAGGGTCTCAGGCTAAGACCCAGCAGAGCCCACAAGAGATTCTTTATAGCCCACCTGAGACTCTGGCTTCCCTGCTATGCTACTAACTAGGAATGTTCCGATACCATTTGTTCAAGACCAAGTACAAGTACTTTCCCTCAGGTACTTGTCGATACCGATTACCCATACTTTTCTTAAAAGGGACATGTGAAATGTTTTGGTAAAACAATACAGACTAATGATTTTAGGGCAGTTTCTTTATAATTATGAAGAACTGTAACTCAATCCATGATTATTCAGCAATGGAGATTGGCAACCAGCAATAGTGGGCTACAGATCTCATCAATTCATAATTTTACAGCAATGGAGAATGGCAACCGGCTATAGAGGACTTAAGACTTGTACCGGGCTCCAGGGCTGTGCTGGTAAGCGTGGGGCTGTGCGGTACTGTGCCGGTGCTGGGAAGGCAATGTGCAGCCAGACAGGCACTTTCACAGACAGCTGCCTGAGGACCCCCCGCACGCTCAGGACCCCAGGCAGCTGAACTTCCTGAAACATTTAAAGAGCCAGTATCGGCTTTTAGTATCAGGGCATTTTCAGGAGTGCATGTACTCCTGAAAAAGCCATGTATGTCCCCTAATACCGATACTATTATTGGTATCGGGACATCCCTGCTACTAACGCAACCTGTCAGAAGCAAGATACAGCGTACAAAACAAAATAGGAGGCTTTAAATTGTTTGGGTATTTGAGAAATGGGTGTGGCTACAGGGGGTGTGGTTACTGAGGGGTGTGGTCACTGACGGGCACTGTAAAGCTTTCTCGCACAGGACGCCTACAGGCAGGGGCCCTGCAGGGGCCCTAGATAAAAATAAGCAATTTACCCTCAAAATGCAGGGGGTAGCCCCAATAAAAGGATTAAGAATACATGCTTCCCAGAGTTATTTTTTTAAATGGAAACCCACTTAATTAGTGAGTAACATAGTGCCCCACTTGCATCGCAGATCAAAAAAAAAAAAAGGGATTTATTCCTCACTTTAGGCCAGTGCTCCATAGTGACATACTTTGGGGGCAATCTGTTCAGCCAGCTGGGGTGGTGCTCTAAGACTGCACACCCTGGCCACCCCATACATTACCGTTATGTGAGGGTACCTGTAAATCGATGGGTTGTGTTGCCTACAGCAGAAAAGGCCCGCAAAGCAGACCATCGGACCAGTGGTGGACCAAGCAACAAAGGGCCCTCATGCAAGGTTTTTTCTTAGGGCCCCCCCTTCCACTCTGAGGGGGAGGACTGGATCTCACTGGGCCCTCATATGGAGGATGAAGCAGGTGCAGATGTGGAGGATGAAGCAGGTGCAGATGTGGAGGACGAAGCAGGTGCAGATGTGGAGGACGAAGCAGGTGCAGATGCGGAGCGAGCAGGGGGCAGACGTAGATGGAGCAGAGGGCCAGATGTGGATGGAGCAGACGTAGATGGAGCAGGGGGGCAGATGTGGATGAAAGAGACACTGACGCTTGCTGTTTTACTCCTGAACACGTTTCTCTCTGTACTGTTGACATAGATACTAAAAACAACTTAAGACATTTGCTTCATCTCCCATCCAACTTTTTTTGACAACCTTCATTTTCATTTATGTTTGGCCTTGTTTAGGTTGATGTTACTAATGGTGGTAAATAGATTACCTTATTGGATCTATCCTGGATTTCCTTCTTTGTTGTTCCTGCTCGGGAACAGCATGCCACTGGAAAGTAAGCCGCCAGTCAAATCCTCCAATCATTGGTTGCCCTGTCTGCATGTAAAACTCAAATGTGTTCCAGTCAATGGTATCAATCACCGGACAGACAACTGCAGTTTCATTCTCCCCAATTCTAAAAAAGAGACAGTGAGCAGGTAGTTATTCAATTATTATATTCATTATTTAAGACCAGAGAATAAAGCACAAGACGAGAGAATAAAGCTAATCGGTCTAATTGTGGATTTTTTACATTTGTAATTTGAGCACCCCACAGGCCTGCTCATGTGAAAAGCATCAGTGTACTGCATTATTATATCTGCTGATATTGATCATACCTTGACTCTTAGGTCTATCAAGATTAAAGTTTTCTACCCAATCCTCATTGCTCTCAATTAGGGATGCTGTTTTGTGTTAGAATATGTTTTATGCTCATTTGATGAGCTCAAAAAAATGTTTGAGCATTCAAGTTAAAACTTCTAAATCAGTCTTTTTAAAGACAGTGCTGAAACCACTAATTTAATTGTGCGGCTAAGAAATTTTACTAACAATTATGGGGGTTTTTTGTAAAAAAATGTTTACTACTAGAATTTGTATTAAAACGGTTAAAAGTAATACAGAAAATACAAAATGAAAAGGGCAGCAAGAACACTTCCTTGCACAAGTTCCAGAAAATGCATGCATAGCAAGGATAATTGAAAAGAATGGAGTGACAACTCCATAAATGGCCATGCAATCGAGGCCCAGGCTGAGAAAGTCAATAACCCCCCCCCCATAGTATTCCCCGCACTACCTAATATCGGGACCAGCTATGGAGGAATCTTGGTGCACCGCTGATTCTATTCAACGGACCAGTCCATGGAAACATCATACCACCCTCTGGGAAACTAAAACCGCATGTTGAAACATCAAAAGAGGAGGAACCCCATGGGGAATTACTCAACAGGAGCCACAGAAGTTGAAGAAACAAAGAATGTGAAAGAAAAAAAGAAAGAAAAAGGAGGGAAAGAAAGAGAACATTAGGAGTGCAAGCGAGAAAAAAAGCACAGAAAAAAAAAACCCAAGAGGTCTCCCTTAGGATCTCTTCATGGAAAAAGAGTTGACGGAATCGTGAACTATCCTGAAGGAGAATCCAGGTGGACCAAATAGCAGAGAACTGTGAATTTCTATCATACAGCTGAGCCGTCAATTCCTCCACATGCATCAAGCAATTAAGATCTGTGACCCATTCCTGCAGGATTGTGCAGATTGTGATTTTCAACGTCGTGGGAACACTGCCCTAGCAGCAAAAAGGTAGTAACATAGCAAGCCCGTCTTAACCTTAAAAAGGGAACCCGGGATAAGGAAGAATAAAGCTAATTGCCAAGTACGAGAGAGACGAAGATGTCCCGGCATAGTAATTATCAAACACCTAATTCCAGAAAGGTATCATAGCTGGGTAATCCCACCAAATACAGGTGAAACTCGAAAAATTAGAATATCGTGCAAAAGTTAATTTATTTCACTAATGCAACTTAAAGGTGAAACTAATATATGAGATAGACTCATTACATGCAAAGCAAGATAGTTCAAGCCGAGATTTGTCATAATTGTGATGATTATGGCTTACAGCTCATGAAAACCCAGATCCACAATTTCAGAAAATTTTTGGCAGTGTGGGCAGGTGCCAAGTCCTGCTGGAAAATGAAGTCAGCATCCCCATAGAGCTCGTCTGTGGAAGAAAGCATGAAGTGCTCCAAAATCTCCTGGTAGACGGCTAAGTTGCATTAGTGAAATAAATGAACTTTTGCACGATATTCTAATTTTCCGAGTTTCACCTGTATATGCCATTGTCCCAAAGCATGACCCCCAATGCCAACAGACATCCGGGCAGCTAGGAAAAATCCTGTGGAGGTCATAGGGACATGTATACCATAATAATAAATACCTTAACATTCCTCTCCTGTGCAGAGCTAGCAATTGACAACGCATAAAACAGAATACAGATTTTTGCTTTGTCATTCTCCCTCTTCCAAGCCGACAAGTAAAGAGGGTACTGTGGATGAAACATCAGGAGCAACAATGTATAGAGAATACAGAGAATATGGGTGGGAGCAGATGACTGAAGACAGTCTCAAAAGCAGTGAGATCCCTAAGAAGTTTTGCAACCTACACAGGTGGGTATAGAAGTCCTGAAGCTGGAAATACTGAAGCCAGCTACCCAGAAGGAGTCTGATATATTTGACTAGGGATATGATTCATGCCAGTAGAGGTCAACGCCCTTTGACTTCCTAAAATGGAAGTCAAAGGTCCAATGTAACTTCACAAGAGCACCCCACACCTTGAGTAGGGCTGGTACACAAAATGGTAGATGTTCAAGGGGCGGTCAAGAAGGAGGGCATGATCCATGGCGGGGATAGCAGAGATGCAAAGACAAGGTCTGCTTCAAGAGCGATCCAGCGTTTATGGGAAGCATTATGGATCACATCCAAAATTCTAGTGAGCCGAGATGCGGAATAGTAGAGTTCCACATGGGGGAGTCTAACTCCTCCTGATTTTTTGGAGTGAATCAGTACATCATAACGAAGACGGGCTGGAGAGCCTCTCCAAATACAGCAAACTAAACCAGTCTTCAAAGTGCAAAAGAACACCTTGGACAGAGGGATAGGCACCGTTTGAAATAAGTATAGCAGACGTGGCAAAATGTCCATTTTGTAAAGTGAGTGGGACTTTGTGGCCCAATCTTTGAGTTTCAGAGCGATAATAGTGACTTACAGTTAAGGTCAAAAAGTAACTCAAGGCAGGTCAGCAAATAGATCCCCAGGTATTTCAATGCCTCAGGTTGCCAGCAAAAAGGGAAATGAAACACGCAAATATGAGAAACCTGCGTGGTCTAAGGAGACATTTAAAGCCTCAGTTTTATGCATATTCACTTTAAAATTACTGAGCAAGCCAAAAGGAGTGAAACTCCCAGAGTAAGGCTAGAAAAGCAGTTTGCAGATTGGAAACAGAGCAGAAGATCATTCGCATAGAGACTTAGCTTATATTCCTTCTGGCCAACAGTAAGGCCCTGGACGTTGGGGTTGTGTTTTATTGCCATTGCCAGGTGTTCCATGGGGAGAATATAGAGAGATAGGGCAGCCCTGCCATGTACCATTGCATATATTTCTATAACTCCAGCACTGGCCGGGTACTTGCTTTCCTTTGAGACCAGAGAGATGTGAGCTTCCTGAGATTGTCTGGGGAAGGGGTGACTGTCCGATATATATCATTAAATGTCAAAAGTGACGCATGAGAGCTCTGCAAAATCCCTGGAGGATGAAGAGTCACCCACCGGAATGACTGCTGCCTTGTTAGGATGTAAAAACAGGCAGGTTCATCACTGTGGAAAAGACCACAAATTCACGAATGACTGCCAAAAGAGTACATGGCAGAAAAAAAAACGCATTAGTACTGACCAGGACATGGTAAGATGCTGCCGTCCCTGGTAGCTAAAAACATTAGGAAAGCAGAAGCCAACCCTCGCTCTGGAAAAAAAGAGTGAACCCAACATCTCTTCCAAAACAGCCAGGCCCCTTCCGGCTAGGAGTCCCCGGAGGCAGGCAGACCCAACACTGCCGAGGGATCCCCCCCTTTCTGACCCTGCCAAGGGAGCAGAGGAAGAAGGCAGGAGCGAATGCTTTTTTATGGCCTTCATCGACAAGGCACGTTCAAGTGCTATACATATCCATTTATAGCAGGAGAGAACACCTCAGGGCGAGCGCCGTACCCTGCGTGTTGGTGGCCCCTGAAGGAGGGCCAAAGGCGGCTACGGCAACTGTGACAACTATATAGGAGGATAGGTAGAAAATAAAAATGGGTGTGGGGAAAGCCTTTACAGAGGAGACCCCCTCCCCCCCTGCCTGCACTGACAAAATCTTCACCACGAGGTCACGGGAGAAATGCACCTCCCTCCTATACACTGGGCCACCCAGCACCCACTGAAAACCGCAGCAGGCCCAGCGTACACACTGTCCAGAAAAAAAAAAGGCGAGTACCACGTGTCCCCCCTAGATAGCAAACTGTGGGGCATCCAGCAGTGTCCCAGGGAGAACATGACTGCCTCTCACCACACACCAAGCATCTTCCCACCTTGGGGTGTGGGCGAACCCCCCACCCCCACAAAAAAAAAACAGTCAGAAAAGGGTGGCCGCCCATAATCAAGATGGCAGCCGCATTTCCCGCAAACAGGCCACAAGCTGCAATGTAAAAAAGCAGCCACACTTGGCTGAGCAAATCTGCACAGAAGCGCGACCGTGGTGTAACACTGGTTTAACACTGAAGTGGTTACCGAGGTTTTAACCTGTGAAAATTGACAATAATGGCTACACATACCTTTCCAGAAGTGGCTCTATCCAACCAGTAACGCACTCACAATGGCAATCCAAAAATGTGAGTACCTCACCTATAGCATAAGTTGCTCCAATAAGTCGTGCCCGTACAAGTCCTTCACGTTTTGTTGTCCTGATCAAGCGTACTCTTTCCAGAGAACTAATATAGTTTTCCAGCTGAGACTTTAAAAATACTGCCAAAAGAAAATATACACATGTAAACTTATTGCTATGCAGATGAAACTGTACATTTAGCTCACAAATTTAGCCGTTAAACAAGTTTTTATGTCATATGACATCAAGTAAAGCAGACATTGTGCTAATGTATGAAAGGATAAAATGACTAGAGGACCATTTCTCAAAGCAGAACTAGAATTAAAGATTTTGGTGATAGAGACTGGTCAATCTGTGATCTTGTACTGGACAGGAAGGAGTCCGTTCAAGGAAGTAGAGCTGAGAGAGTTGGAAACATGAGGACTGTAAATGCTTTAAAAATAAATTAAAATCACACTAAATGTAGGAGGTAAATCTTAAAAATGCATTAATGTGCCTAATTTAAAAAAAAATTAACTTTATTTGTGCATCATTCAGCTGTAGATCCTCAAATCATCTCTGAATTGGTACTGAAACTGTCCTTCCTTCAGGAGGGTGGCTACTTTGTTCCCATTGACCTCGGTGTGTGTTGTAAATTAGCCACCGCTCCAAGCTCACTCCGATGGACTATAACCTCATGTTTAGTTTACTTATTTGTATTGAAGTTATGGTCTATCTTGGGGGTGAGTTTGGAGCAGTGGAGAGTGAAGCTACCCCTGCACTGCATGGGTTAACTGCTCATTTTGGTCTAGGGTCTAAAATAAAGAAAATACACTCATCTGATCTTGGCTGCTAGGCCGGTCCCCGCAGCCTCTTCTCCCCCAGGCTCCAGTGGTCTAAGGACATGGGACATCATTGCATGCATTAATGCAGTTGCATTAGATGTGAGGAAACTGAGGGACGGGTAGCCCCACTGCAAAGGTTACAGTTTCAATCGCCCAGAGTTCGAGGATTATATCAATAAAAATAATAGGCTAGTAAAAACTATTTTACATGTCAGCATAAAACACATTCTCTACTGTTCCAGGTCCTACAGCACCAATTTTCCCAACTTCCAGATAGGGAATAGTGCCCCCTGTGCCTTTTACATGCACGGCACACTACTCACAGCAATCAGGCTGCTGTGAATCACTCACTTGGAGGAGGGGAGGGGCCAGGACTGCATGTGGCTCAATGACATACACGCGATAGATACTGTATTATTATTATATAGGATATATATAGATATATAGATATACATACATACATATACACACACACACACACACACACACTGGCCAGATTATTATGACCACCTGACGTTTGTAGACAAATTAGCTATAATTTATTTTATTTTTTTATTTACTGACAAAATATTAAATCATGCCTTTTTTTTATTCTGAAATTTAAAGAAAGAAAATATTTATGATACACATTCCCTTTAAATCTGCACCAGAGATAAATAAAGTAATTGATGTTCACAAGTACCTTTATCACTGAAGTCATCCACTATTATTATTTCTCTCAGAAGTACTGCAGAAGACGTTTCTAAAACGCTGTGTATTGTACGAAGCAGTGTTGATAAAGCCTCATTATAAAATGCTATGATAACAGACGTTGTTGGAAGTTTCCTATAATTGAAGGTTTTGGACCTGCACCTGAAAATTGTTAGACATGACAGTTGTAAACATATTAAATGTATACAAGCATCCTAAATATTGAAATAGTAATATATTTAATTAATGAGCAATTACAAGCCACAGCAATGAGTCATTCAATGCGGTTGCATAGAACAATATAGCAATGTCAAGATTAAAATAAATGAAGGTAAGCTGTACTCTAAATCTAAAACTTTAAATTTTCAATTTTGACTGGATTGTACCTTTAACAACAAATAAGCAATGCAAACACCACACTCTGGGAATCGGCTTCATGGAAAATGCTATGATGATATACCCTAATACAGCGAGTGCAATTAATCAATTTTATTTCAGTAGGTTCCTAAATCAAGGCATGTAGTGGCATATTCAGGGATGTCAATGTGGTCAACCAAATTAAAAAGGAAGACAAAGTGGCATGTGAGAAATGGGTGTGGTTTATTCAGTGTGCACAGTATGATAGGGAAAGAATTATACCCCGCATACAGAACAGACATTTACTATGTAGTGTCCATACATATAGAATAAGAACCAATAAAGAGAATTACACCAAGCATATAGTCCAGGAGAAACTACTGCGCTGAACTCAATCATTCATAATCTGCAAGTGTCATAAATTTCAAACTAATTTGGATCAAGATTGCCCAGTGAATTCAGCCTTAAGGTGCCCATACACTGCTCGATTCTCGTACGAGAATCGCTGGAAATCCCGCGATCCTACGAGAATCGAGCAGTGTGAACGAAGACGTGCAACCGTTTTTACTGTACGGTCGCACGTCTTTTGTCGAACCAGCATGCTCGAAAACACGCCGAGAATCGTACGATTGTCGGCGGGTTTCTAGCCTGCTCGTTCGACAGCCGCGGAACGGGCCAGTGTGCGCACGCGCAAACTGTCCGTTCTGCATTGCGGGGCGGGTTTTCGATGATCGCAAGTACGCTCTGCCTGTCCAAGATGGGCAGATCGTACAAGCTTTTAATAAGCTTACGACCATCACAAGACAAAAGTCTTGCGATGGTCGTGTAAGGTGTATAGGCACCTTAAGAGCTGACCGTTTGAAGCTAAACAAAGTCTCCAAGAACCCTTGCAACAACTGGTGTCGTAGTGCATTAATCTGCATACAGAAAGAGATTGCACCAATTCACCATGCATGGGAATAAAAGACTTCACTGTCCAAAAAGAATATTAGAGCAAGACTACAGTTTGCCATTGAACAAAGGACCAGGTCTTCTAGAATACTGTGCTGTTGACTGATGATTTAAAGATTGATTTGTTTGTCCACAGACATGTTTGGTGTAAACTGAAGACAAGATTTCAGAGGAACCCCTTACTGACTGTAAAGCAGGGTGGTGGAAATGGTATGGTTTGGGATTTCCTTGCTTCTTCAGAGCTTAGATAGCTGACTTAATGACTGCAAGCTATGAACTGGAAACAGATCTTTCAAAATGACAATCCGAAGCAGGCTAGCATATCCACCAACAAATACTATATTTGTTCAAATGGGCAGTTTATGCAAGGCATACACTTTGGACTGACAGAATTGTGCACGAAGGAGTGGTCAAAAATATCACCATGTCAATAGCAGAGACTGGTGGGTAGTTATGCAAAATGCCTAAAGAAGTAACTTCTGGTAAAGGGGCAACAGCAGCTTCTTAGTGCTAGTTCATACCAGATGCAGTTGTGATGCAGTCTGTTCCGTTTGGCAGCTGCATCGAAATCACTTCACAATGCTTTCCAATTGGATTTCTGCTGCGCCGTTCACACCAGTGCAGTCTGCTGTGATGCAGTCAGAAAAAATACCGCTTGCCCCCATTTTAGCTGCACCTGATCGCATCAAACACATGCAAACGCAAAAATCTTGCTCGCAGGTACAACACTAGAAATTGTTAGTAACTTCTCACAGAACAAACGGTCTATACTGGGCATTGCTAAGAACTAGCAGCTCACACAGCTTTCTCTAGCACCTCTGTGCTACTCCAACTCCTCCTCAGGTTCTGTGTAGTTTCCTGTGTTTTTCTAGACACTTCCTCTTGCCTGGTAGTTAACACTCTGTTGCCCCTTAAAGGGACCACAAACCAAATAGAGGGGACACAAACATACCTTCCTGGACCCATCCTTGGCGTCCTGTACAATATCTAATGTTAATCTGTTTAAATATTGTAGGGTCACCAGATAACTGACAAAAGGGAGTGGGATGGACTGACATGTGGATAAAAACATTAGTTACTGATCTGGTGAACTGTGCTCCTTGTATGCATCTTGATCATTTAAAAAAAATTTAATTAGACTCGTTCTTATGGGTAACTGTTACTTATTGCTCCAGTTTTCATTGCTTTAGTTTTCATTGCTTTAACAAATCAACCTAATGAATGTCAATGCTCTGAAAAGACCTTCCTTCAGGTTAGCATTTAGGCACAGTTCACGGGTTTAAAAAACAAACTTAGTCTGTGGCACCAGTCTCTGCAGGATCAGTCCGCTGTTTTGCACCTTGGTGTAATGCTTCATTCCTGTTCACCACTTGAGTTTCCAGAAATGTGCAATATGTCTTTTCCAGCCTGTGCGTTTAGGCGCTCTCCCACTGCTGGTTCTTAGCGAGAAGGGCTTCCAGACACAAAATTGTGTCTATCTTCCTGCACTCCTTACCAGATCTCCTAGGAGATGATGTCTGTAATAGGGTGCTTGTAGCAACCACGGAGGCACCGTGTAGTCAAGTCGTAATTCCAAAAGATGTCACCAGCACTCCAAAAGTAGATTCAATATATTTTAATGACAACGGTCATTCAAAATCACAAGTACTTTCGGGGCCACGTTGGGTCCCCGTCATTTCTGAGCCTGATGACAGGCTTCCAGACACTTCTCGGAGGTCATGACCGAGAAAGCTACTGTATGTAAACTTGCTCAATGCATTTACGAGTTGCCTGTACAAAGTATGCGTTCCTAGGTTCTTGTACCCATGATCTCTGTTCCAGTATGATTCCCATTTGGGACCTCCACCTGTTTCTCAACAATCATTGTTATCTGCCTGCCCTAACCTTTTGCCTGTTTGACCATAACCTTGCCTGCCAATTTTGCACCACTGTTCTTTTCTACCTGCTGTCAGCTGTTACCAATCCAAGTGTAACTGAAGGTTGCAACCTGGGAGTCCAACATACTTGGTGGGGTACTCTGGTGAACACTGGGCGGTTCCTTGGATACTGCACCTCAGTCCAGGGCCAGGACATACTTCTGGCAAAACAGAGGGTCCATTACCTCCATGACAACATTTCTATGTTAAAAGGATGTAAATATCCATAACATTACACTGTAGCATTTAACCATCCAGTATAAAGAGAGAAGAGCATTCCATGCTTTCTGTCAATCACTGGAAATTCCCAGCACCCATCCTGATTAGTGGGCATGTTTCACATACCTGACTTCCACCTTCCTCAGGTCACAGCTTGCAGAACAACCCACGCACTCAGCCACAGTGTTCTGACCAACCCACAGCTCGCAGAATAGGCTGCCCACTCAGTCACTGGTCACAGAAAGACCACACAAAATGACAATGCTCAGTCATACAACACAAACAGACCACACAGGCTGCACCACACTGACAGATCACGCACACAGCCAAACATACAGCACACAGATTACATACTCAAACACTGCATACAGAGAGACTATATTAATGTCAGGCGGTGCTGCGGACTCGCAGTGGGGGTAGGAACCCACTGGCAGAAAATGGACCGGAAGATCCAAAATCGAGGTACAAGAGGGCAAATCCAAAAGGGGTAGTCAAGTCCAGTCCAGGTCAAGGCAGGCAGCAAAGGTTCAGAAGCGGTAGACAGGCCGAGGGGTCGGTAACCAGGAAGTTCGGAACAGCAAAGGTTCAGAAGCGGTAGACAGGCCGAGGGGTCGGTAACCAGGAAGAGGGTTCAGGAAACGGCAGCAGGAACAAAAGGGGCTAGGTGATCACACCATAGGAGGTGGAATAACTCAGCAACAAGCCAGGGCTCTCACCAGGTTTTTATAGCCAGAGGAATCAAAGCCACTCCCTGGTGCCCTACACCAGACTCGGCAGCCCCGAGGAGAGGTGACAACCCTGGTTCCCTGACAATTAAAGCTGGCCATACAATAGTAGAATGAAAGATCTTTCTTTACCACCCAATAAAGGCCACCAGACATTTGACGAATGTGGAGCGAAACTTCATTGTAACATTCGATTTTGGAATTAATGGAGTTTCCCGAATGAAAACCACATTCACGGTTAGAATTACGTTCGAGAAAAAACTTCCATCCAGGTGCTTTGGAGTTTTTTCGTCACTACGGCCAAAATCGATCTCGATTTTACCCCATCATCTAATAGAAAGTGGAACAAAAGTTCATTCAGAAATCTACTAGTGTATGGCCAGCTTAAGTTACAGCACACAGAAAGAAAGCCCCCCACATTTAGTCACTGCACACACAATGAAATCATACAGACTGCACACTCAAGTCAGAGCACGAAAGCAGACGACACACAGACTATGTATATGAATCAACATACTAAATGCCCAAATCGCAAACAGTATACGCGCAACAAACAGGACTCATTTTACAATACCTTTTGTTAACGTTTGGATACGCAACGTTTCTGCTTTACTATTTCATCTCTAAATATAACACTGACCTTTTTGCATGTAATGCACTGATGAGCTTATTTGAGAGATCTCCATCTTGTATGTTTGCAAGATAGTGACTAGGGTCTAGAGAAATATGATGACTTAGTTGGGGTGCAAGCACAATGAGGGGAGTTTATCAAAATTGGAGTAGACAAAATCTGGAGCAGTTGTCCATGGCAACCAACCAGCTTCTGTCTTTCATTTTCAAAGCTTAACTGCACAAACTGAAGAGAGAAGATGACTGTTACTATGGACAACTGGTCCAAATTCTGTCTGCTCAATTTTTGATAAATTCTCTCTAATGTGCACACCAAAAAAAGTAATCCACCAATTTCATTCCATAGTCCATATAGCATTTCCTT